TTATGGATGACAGTTTCGTGTCTATTGAATAAAAAATTAAGGTTTTTACAGCACCAGAAATGCTTTAATACCACAGACAGTATACTAGGGAAGCAAAGATTATGGGATCTAAAAATAAATGAGGAAAATCTTTGGGACTCAGAAAATAGAGTCAACACATCCTGACATCATACTTGAGAAGCAGCCACAATCTATAGCCCAAATGATCAATTATTTGGGCTAGATTATTGGTCAGCATGGTAGTTAAGCCTGTAATCCCAGCACTTTGGGAGACGAAGGTGAGAGGATTGCCTGAGTCCAGGGTTTTGAGACCAACCTGGGCAACATGGTGAGAGCTTTTCTCTACAATAAATCACAAAAAAATTAGCCAAGCTTTGTGGCATGTATCTGTAGTTCCAGCTACTTGGAAGGATCGCCCAAGCCCAGCAGGTTGAGGCTGAAGTGGCTTTGAGTAAAAAAGATGTCCAATTTTAACTTTAACATTTGACATCAGCATTGTTAAAATACTCACTTCTCTGCTTTCCTGGAAAACAAAAGTTCATTTGGAAATACTCAAGTGCTTTTCTTGTAGTTTTTTTGTTTTTGGTTTGTGTTTTCAATTTATTATTATATTATTTATATATTTGTGTATATACATATACATACATATATACTTTTTTTAAATTTGAAGGCTCTCTGCCACCCAGGCTGGAGTGCAGTGGCATGACTATGGCTCAACCTAAGAGCTCAGGCAATTCTCTCCCTAATCCTCCTGAGAACATGAAGACAAAATGCACCACCACACCTCGTTTTCCTTGTCTTCTGTAGATATGAGGTCTTGGTACATTGTCCAGGCTGCTCTCAAACTCCTGGGCTCAAGACATCCTCCCACCTCGGCCACCCAAAGTATTGGGATTACAGTCCTAAGTGACCATGCCTCACCCCTTACTGCTTTTAGGTGGTTTGCTCCTTTGTGGTATTATGTAGTTTGACTAATAAAAATACTCTTTTATTTTTCTATTTTTGACACTTTATTTCTAAATTTAGAAACTTATGTCTGGCTTTTGATTATTTTAGAAACTCATAAGTAATCTATTGTTTTCATATATTTTAGTCAAACCACTACATAAATATTGGAGAAGTGTTTCACATATTTGCGTTCAAGTCTCCGTTTACATTGAACTCTCTTTTTATCACTCAAACATCTTTAAACTTTGTGAGTATGTACATTGTGGTCAATGTTTCTGCCCAGGCCAGGTGTGGTGTCTCACACCTAGGACAGTGGGAGGCCAAGGTGAGGTGATTGCCTGAGCCCATGGGTTAGTGACCAGCCTGGACAATTCAGCAAGACATCATCTCTACAATTAATCATAACATTAACCTTGCATACTGGAGTGTGTCTGTAGTTACAGCTACTTGAAAGACTGAGGTGGAAGATTCATCTGAGCCTAGTAGGTAGGGGCTGTGGTGGCTGAAAGCATGCCACTGCATTCCAATCTGGGTGACAAAGTGAGACTCCAACTAAAAAAAAAAAATTGCTGCTCACTAGTCCTGTTACCAGTTCAATCAAATTTAATGTTTATCCCATACATTTTATGTTGCTGATTTGTTATATTTCTAATTATGTTTTATTTGACTGTTTTCCAAATATTGCTAGTCGAACTTTATAGTGTCTTGTTATTTTCACATTTTTTTTCTCACTGTATAGTCAGTCCATGAAGAACATGGTTGTGACCTGCAAAAGTCCACTTTTTTAAACAAATACATTGAAAGTTTTTTTAAATTTTTTTTGACAATTTGTGATCATTTAAAACAAACTCACAAACCACATGTTTATGAATATATTTTATCAAGTTAATGTATCATGAGCACATTAGTATATTGTAGTATAATTTGACATTTAGTACCATGAAACATACAAATCTATCATACAAATGTAAACTTAAAATGTATGCATTTACAGTTTATTCATAGCATCATTAGCAGTTGGGAAAAGTGTAAATCAATGTAAAGATGAAGTACTAATTTATAAGGGCATAAAATTAAATAACATAGTGTATAAATAATTTTGTGGACATGTCCTGCTGCCATGTGGTGAATATAAGCATTGTGAGATCCTGTTCCATACACCAAGTAATGCTAATTTTTCCATAAGAGCACTTGGTCTCCCCAGAGTAAATCAAGGAAATTATGAAAAATAATTGCATATATGACAAAAAGTTGGGAAGGTAAGGGTATCATGATATAAATCTTGAAGACATTCCAGAGCCCAGAGGCGATACCAGAGGAACTAGCAGCCAATGACTTGATGGGACAAGTGCTTCCAACTCAGTTCCAGGTGACTGGAAAGGAAATAGAAGAGGCTGGGCATGGTGGCTCATCCCTATAATTCCAGCAGTTTGGGAAACAAAGTAGAGTGGACTGCCTGAGTCTGGGGCTTCCAGGTCATCCTGGGCAACTTGGTGAGACCTTCTATTAACAAAGAATTCAATAATTGGTTGGGCATGGGACATATGTTTGTGGCCTCAACTACTCAGGAAGCTAAAGGGGCAATACAGCCAAATCCCATGACCTCGAGGTTGAGTGGCCAGGAGCCTGCCACTGCAGTCCAACCTGGGGAGTAGAATGAGACTCCAAACTAAAAAAATAATAATGAAGAGCAGCAGTGCCAGTAAACACATTGGCATTACACAAGCTGGCAGAAGGGTTCTGAGACTAGAGATTGCTTTGACTTCTTTTGAAACAGAGCCTCATTACAGTAGGGGTCCCAAACTAAAGCCAATGGTGGCAGCAGAATAGCTATCATGTAGCCACGTTTTTAGAGAAATGAAAATGTAAAAGTGTCAGAAGTTAAAGTATGTTTCTGCCAAGCTACACTAACTGTCCCAACTCTCTTGCATTTTTTAAAAAATCTCCTCTAGCTTTTCCACCTCTCCCACCTAAGACAGTGAGATCAGACATACTTCCACCTCATTCTCAAACTCTTATGGTGAAGATGGCAAAGATGAAGTACTTTATGATAACCTACTTTCATTTAGTGAATAGGAAGGATATGTTTTCTCCTTTACAATTTTCTCTTTTTCTTTTCAATCCAGGGTGTACCTGTGCAGGCTTATTACATGGATATGTTGTGTGATGGTCAAGTAGAAGCATCTGTTGAAACCATCACCAAAACACTGCAGACAGTTTCCAACAGGCAGTTTTTAAACACTTGGCTCCCTCACACTTCACCAGTTTCTGGGATCTACCAGTCTCATCTTTATGCCTGTGTGTACCCAGTGTTTAGCTTTCACTTATATGTGAGAACATGCAATATTTACTTTTCTTTTTCTATTTAATTTACTTATTGTAAGAATACTGTATATACTAGATATAATATACATAATATGCTAATGAATTGTTTATGTGGAATCCACAACAATGTGGTTTTTTCATTCTGAAATTGTTGTCTTTCACATACAGACACAAACTCACTGTAAGAGGAACATTTATTTCATTATACAGAGCATTTATTACACATCAAGCACTGTTTTTGCTCACTTTGTTTTATTGCACATCAGGCACTGTGTTTGTTCACTTTGTTGGAATGTCAAAAATAAGATGAAAATTAAACCCCTAGATTTATAACACTCCTAAGTTTTCACTGAACAAATTAGTCTAGTAAAGCCAATAAAAATCAGTTGTTGAGAGCAATGCCTGAGCTCAGGTGTTGAGGATCAGCCCGGGCAACTTGGCAAGACCTCATCTCTACAATAAATCAAAATATTAGCCAGGTGTGGTGGTGCTTGACTGTAGTTCCAGCTACTTGGAAGGGTGAGGTGGAAGAATCACCTGATCCCAGCAGGTCATCAAGGATTCAGTGGCCATGAGCATGTCACTGCACTCCAGTCTGGGGCACAGAGTGAGATTCCAACTCAAAAAAATTTGATTTTTCTCACAGAGAATGGAGATCAGCTATAGTATTTTCCAGTTCCAAATTGCTCATGACTTTAAAATGTCCTTTGAGGCACAAGGATCACTAATCCAACATAGGATGGAATACAAAATAATTTTCTGTTTAAAGTATTACTAAATATTTTTGTTAAACTTTAAGATGATACTTCCCTGTCAGAAAACCAAAACCATCCCACGCCTCATCAAAAGAGGAGAAATAAAAAATAATCAATTGTTACTATGAGAAGTAAAAAGAAGAACATGAACATTATTCAATGACATTCTTTAGATGTGGCAAAAAATAAAATATACTAAACAAAGTAACTAAATACACCCATTGTGAATTACATTTTCACAGTGCTTTCTAACACCATTCAATTGCATTTTTAAAAATTTGGCCAGGCTCGGTGGCTCAGTCTGTGATCCCAGCACTTTGGGAGGCTGAGGTGAGTGGATTGCCAGAGGCCACAGGTTCGAGACCCACCTGGGCAACTTGGCAAGACCTCATGTCTACAGTAAATCAAAAATTAGCCAGACATGGCAGTGCACACCTGTAGTTCTGGCTCCTTGGAAGGCTGAGGCGGAAGGATGGCCAGAGCCCAGCAGGTCGAGGTTGCAGTGGCCAGGAGCAGCCACTGTGCTCCAGTCTGGGGGAGAGTACGACTCCAACTCAAAAAAAAAAAAAGATTCTTGAAATTTCTAAGTAGGCTAATTAATTTTCACTTTATGAACGTATCCTTGCAAGTCAAGTCAAAAAGTGGATGTCCATAGGAAGATTAGGAACTAGAAGCCATTAGATATTAGTAGAATAAATTGAATGTGAGGAAGATAAACCTGGTTTACTTTCAGATTTTAAATTGTTTCTTTTGTACCAACAATGTCTTTTTGAATTTAGGCATATATTCACACACAAGCACTCAACTTCCTCTTCTTTAGCTCTTGTATGCATAACTTTTGAGTGATAATTTTGTTATTTCATTCAGTATAAATAACACAAGTCTTCATGTGCATGGTAGACTAAGGAAAGTATAATTTCTACATAATATATACAATTTACAATAGTCAGGATTCAGAGACATGTCTTATCATTATGTTCCTGTATAATCTTTATTACAATAATCAAAATGATGCATAACTAATATATATTATATATATATAAAAGTTGAGTTACATCAGTACTGTATGCTACATCTTGATATAGCATTTTCCAGTCATTACAGATACTGAAAATTTAGAGTATAAATACTCTGATGTGAAAACTTGGAATAATAGTGAAAAGTTTTATCCCATTCTTCCCATCTACAGGGTTTACCAAAATTTAGATGCTCATATGTCAACCAAGTATTGAATGAGAACTAAAGGCTTTATCACATTCCTCTCATTTATATAGTTTCTCCTCAGTATGGATTTTCACATGTCCATCAAGTTGTATATGAGAGCAACAGGCTTTACCATATTTTCCACATTTATAGAGTTCCTCTCCAGTATGGATGATCATGTATCTGGCAAATTCATTGTGAAGAGTGAAAGGCTTTTTCTTGACATTGATAGGGTTTCTCTTCAGTATGAATGGTCTTAAGTCCAGCAAATTCTTTATGAGTGTGGAAGGCTTTGCCACATTCTTCACATTTGTAGAATTTCTCTCCAGTACAATTGGTCATATGTCCAGCAAATCTTTTAGGAGCTTGAAAAGCTTTGTCATATTCTTCACATTTGTAGGGTTTTTCTCCTCTATGGATTCTCTGATGTTCAATAAGACTGGAGTACTGAGAAAAGTCTTTGCTACAGTCTTCACATTTGTAGGGTTTCTCTCCAGTATGGAATCTCTGATGTTGAATTAACTTTGAGTAGCAATGAAAGGCTATGCCATATTCTTCACATTTGTACAGTTTCTCTCCAGTATGGATGGTCATGTGTCCAGCAAATTCTTTGGGAGAGTGACTTTGACACATTCTTCACATTTGTAGGGTTTTTCTCCAGTATGGATCATAGTATGTTGAGTAAGGTCTGAACAAGTGTGAAAGGCTTTGCCACATTCTTCACATTTATAGGGTTTCTCTCCACTATGGTCCCTTTGATGTTGAATAAGATGTGAGTACTATAAAAATAATTTGTCACATACTTGACATTTGCAGGGCTTATGCACAGTATGGATTCTCTGATGGCGAATGAGATGTGAATTCCAAGTAAAGCTTTATCACATTCTTCACATTTATAGAGATTCTCTCCAAAAAAAAAAAAAGAATTTTCCAATGTTCAGAATGGCATGAGTAATAGCTAAGGACTTTGTTACTTTTTCACTTTTGAAGGCTCTTTCTCCACTCTGGATTCTTTCATGTCTGTTTAGATAAGATGATTTCCTAAACACTTTCCCACATATATTTTGTACATTTTCTCCACTAATTTCTTGTTGTTCACTACATTTGGGAGACTGCTTAAACATTTTGCCATATTCATGTTTGGGAGCCATTTCAGAAATATGTATACTCTGGTGGATAAGGAATTCAGAGTGTTGTTGAAAGACTTTCCCACACTTGTTACATTTGTAATGGTTACTTACAATAGAACATCCTATCTGCCCTTCACCCTCATGCAGGCTTTCCAAAGAATTTATTAAGTATAAGTTCTTAAGGCCAAATCTTTCATATCTTCCCACTGGAACCTTTATAAGCAAGTCTTCTATGCTCTTGTCTGGTAACAGGCCCTTAGTGTAATGAGAAGTCACAGCTGAAAATCATGAAAATAACAATTTACTTTACATACTAGACTCAGGTGAATATCCTTTAAAAATCAAACATAAGCTGGGCTCGGTGGCTCAGCCTGTAATCCCGCAACTGTGGGAGGCTGAGGTGAGTGGGTTGCTGAGCCCGCAGGTTCAAGACCCACCTGGGCAACTTGGCGAGACCTCATCTCTACAATAAATAAAAAAAAGTAGCCGGGCATGGTAGTACGCGCCTGTAGTTCCAGCTACTTGGAAGGCTGAGGCGGAAGGATAGCTGAAGCCCAGCAGGTCAAGGCTGCAGTGGCCGGGAGTGGCCACTGCACTCCAGTCTGGGTGACAGAGTGAGACTCCAACTCAAAAAAAAATCAAACATAATATGTCTATGACATAAGCATGATGAAAAGTAAAAAAATCACAGATTTCCACTCCATATATATATCCTTAAGGAAATATTTACCACAATGCCTTTTTGAAAACTCAAAAACAGATAAGAAATTACAGGATCCCCACTGAACCCAATGTTAAAAAGAGTTACATGGAAGAGGAAGTTTAGTTATTTTGCCACCGTAAGCTCTATTCCTTCACAAAACAGTATGATGAAATCAGATGAAAATTTCTAACTCTTGATTTCTTCCTCAGGGAGTAAGCAGGTGATGGAGCTTGAGTCCATACTACGCTTTGGGTGTTGCCCAAAGGCTGGTTTCTCTCTCAGTTTACAGAGTACTGAAAAAGATGGTGGTATAATTTGTATAATAGGTTGCATCTGTTGAGACTAAAGGAAAATTATTCTTATAGCATCAGACAGACTGCAGTACCATAGAAAGACCACAGATATAGCAAATAACTTGATCAAACTATTTAACTGGAAGAGTACATGCATAATGCCAGAGAAGACACATCCTGAGAACAGGTATGAGAGGCTCCCAGAATCTCTAACTTAGTGTTAGTGCCACAATATCTAGATAAAATAACTTCATAAACATTATGACAGGTATCTCTTTTTCAAATACCCAAATTCCAACAAAGTATCCCAAAGCATACAAAGAATCAGAATAAAGGACTCAATTACAGTACAATAACAAGATAAATCCAGAATTCAATTGCAACAAAATCAGTTGATGGTCTTTAAATTTGTAGATTGTCTCCAATGCTCTAATACCAAATAAAGTGTTTGCTGATTAAAGTCTTTAGACCTTTTTTTTTTACATTTGTACATTCAAAAGATGTTTGGTTTAAGTAAAGATAATGGTACTCTTTACATCTGTAAATTTCTCAACATGTCTGTATAGTTTATATCTTGATATAAGATTTTACAGTCATTGCAGATACTGAAAATTTAAAGTATAAACCCTCTGATGTTGTGAAAACTTGGAATAACAGTGAAAAGATTTATCCCATTTTCCACATCTACAAGGTTTACCAAAATATAAATGCTCATATGTCAACATACACAGAAGACATACACAGGCCCTGACAAAGAATTTTAAATGACCAGCTTAATGAGACTTAATAAGCTATAAATACAGATAACCAAATGAAACCAGGAAAAAAAATCAACAAAGAGATTAAAAAACTATTAAAAATAAGAATTTGTACTGTAGTTCCAGCTACTTGGAAGGCTGGGGCAGAAGGATCGCCAGAGCCCAGCAGGTCGAGGCTGCGGTGGCCGGGAGTGGCCACTGCACTCCAGTCTGGGAGACAGAGTGAGACTCCAACTCAAAAAAAAAAAGAATTTGTGGAGTTGAAAATTGCAAAAAATCTGACAGATTTTCAAATGCAATGAAGCAAAAAAGGAAAATCAACAAGTTGATTGGAATTGAACTAGGATAAATACAAGCATAGTCAGACAAGCTACTATCAAAATTTTGGCATAAATGTGGTGGCTCGCAAATGTAAGCCCAGCACTTTGGGAGGCCAAGATGAAAGAACTTCCTGAGTGAGGAGTTTGAGACCATCCTGGCAAACATGGTGAGGCCTGGCATTTAAAATAAATCAAATAATTAGCTGGCAATGATGCCACACACCTGTATTTCCAACTACTTGGAAGGTTGAGGCACAGGAATCCCAGAAGCTCAACAGGCCAAGACCGCAGTAGCTATGAGTGTGCCACTGCACTCTATCCTGGATGACAGATTGAGACCCTTGACTAAAAAAATATAAGATTCAAAAAGCATAGACAAAGCTGGGCTCCGTGGATCAGCCTGTAATCCCATGCCTTTGGGAGGCTGAGGTGAGTGGATTGCTTGAGCCCGTGGGTTCGAGACCCACCTGGGCAGGCGAGACCTCATCTCTACAATAAATAAAAAATTAGTCAGGCATGGTAGCACGTGCCTGTAATTCCGGCTACTCGGAAGCCTGAGGCGGAAGGATCGCTGGAGCCCAGCAGGT